GGCAAACGCCCTGGCACTGCTGCAGGGACGCTCGGGGAAGACTGTGGACCTGGGATCTGGAGACGGACGGCTTGTAAGGGCGGGCATGGGGGTGCTGGGGGGCCTTGAGAGTGGCCCAGGATGGGCAAGGGGCAGGGAGGGTGACAGGAAGCCCCCTACCTGCCTGCTGCCCCCCACTCCTGGCTGTGGGTCTAGATGATTCTCCTGGAGATGGTCCTGGACCATCCTAGGTGGTCCTAGAAGACTTCCCATGCAGTGAGCAGAGTGGGAATGACCACTCTAGAAGGAAAGAGCCGTTGCATCAAGAAAGTGCTGTGGACTGAGGTTACCTTGTCCAAGTCAGCAGGAGGGAGCGCGTGAAGCTGGGCAACAGCCCCTACCCCCAGACTTGTCCCCCAAACTCAACACTCAGGTTCATTTTAGTTGCACCTCTCTCTTTCCAGGTGGTAGAGGCTTACAAGCAAGGTTTCAGACCAGCTGTTGGCTATGAGCTCAACCCCTGGCTGCTCTGTCTCTCCAACTACCGGGCCTGGAAGGCTGGGTACCATGGGAAGGTTTCCTTCCTGAAGAAAGATCTGTGGAAGGTAACAGCGTCCTGAGGGTCTGGCTGTATTCAGCGCTGGCCAGAGCTGGGACAGGGCCAGGGCTTGGTCTGCATCTTCTCCAGCCAAGCTTTGCTGGTGATTGTTTGCTCCTTCCCTGACCCACGCTGCTCTCAGGAGGTGCAAAAAACATCCTCTTTTCCAGGGAAATGGCAGCCTGGGGTGCTGGTTTTGCAGGCAGCAGTGCTTCTTCTCAGAGCAGCTTTAAGAAGAGGTCTGAGGTGCTGCTGACACATGGTGGCCTTCAGTGATGTGCTGCTACAGCTGGTGTCAGGTACCCACAGCCTGACCGGAGAAAACCCAGAAGGGATCATGGTTCTGGGATGATGGTGGAGGCAGGTGTTTTGCAAGAGGTGCTGCTTTCACACCCAGCTCCTGGTCACACTAACACATCCCATCCCACACGTTGTGGGGTGTCTTTGCTTCCTCCAAGGTCCAGAAGATCTCCTGCAAAGGGTTTGGGCACTTGAATGGCCCCTCCACACCATTCCTCCCCTGCTATTGCTTCTTTCATTCTCCTTTTCCTTCTCTTTTAAGGTGAATCTTTCCGATTGCTACAATGTGATCGTGTTCCTGGCCCCCAGCGTGGTAAGTCTGTATCTGGCACCCTGACTTATTCTGAGCATGCTCAAGGGAGGGTTATCTTGGGCAAAAGAGACAATATGGGACAGTGGCAAAGACTCCTTAAAAAACCAGGCATCACTGCAAGTGAGCAGTCTGGGGCTCAGCATTGCTCAAATTTATAGAATCATTTAGGTTGGAAAAGATCCTTAAGATCATAGAGTCTAACCATTAACTTGGCACTGCCAAATCCCCACTAAACTATGTCCCGCAGTACCCCATCTACCATCTTTTAAATACTTCCAGGGACGGTGACTCCACCAGTTCCTGTGCCTGACAACCTTTTCAGTGAAGAATTTTTTCCTAATATTGAATCTAACCCTCCCTTGGCATAACGTGAGGCTGTTTCTTCTTGTCCAATAGCTTGTTACTTGTTCATAGTCCCAACCATACACAGGGCTAGTACCAGGCCTGCATTTTGGAAGGGTCTTGGGTTGATGGTGCCTGCTTGGGCCCCCCCAGCCATACCAAGAAGTTGTCCTGTGGTCCATGGTGGCACTGCCATTACATGACGTTTCTAAGGCCACCTGGTCATGGCTGTCTCTCTCTCCCCAGAAGCCTCCCCTAGCCGCCAAGCTCCTTGCAGAACTCCCTGACGAAGCCCGGGTGGTGGCTGGACGCTTCCCCTTCCCCTCTTGGACCCCCACCAGCACCCTTGGGCAGGGGCTGGAGCAAGTCTGGGCCTATGACATGAAGGAGGTGCGGCGAGCAGCGCAGGGCAGTGCAGAGGGAACCTTGGTCTAACAACAGCTGGTTAAGCCTGGCAGAAAGGGTCAGCAGCAGCAGGGATCTGAGCCTCTCCAGCCCTTGGGCTTCAGCTCAGGACAGCAGCAAGAGGGATGCTTGGCCAGGCTTTTCCCAGGGTGTTGGTCCCTCTGAAGAGAGACAGTCTAGGGGAAGCAAGGGAGGGGAAAAATCAGACCTACAAATCCTGGAATTATTGCAGGATTTAAGAGCTAGACCTCCAGTGCCTCTTTTTGTACATTTGCTACTTTATTACTATTTAATTTTTCAAAATAAACATTTTGACATATTTTCCATGAGGCTTTTGCTTTGCCTTTGAGCCGCAGGGTGCTCCTGGAGCCAGAGCAGCCGCTGCTCCCAGCCTCAGGCTTTGCTCCACTGGCCCTTTGAAGGTGGCTCAGGGAGGGGTTTGTCCAGTTCACCTCTTGCTGGAGGACCAGTTTGGCCCTCATCACCTTATGTAACATTCCCTTTTCCACTCAACCACAGGGGAAAAAAAAATGTTTTCCCACCATTAAACAGCAGCTTATCCCTTGAACTAGCCCTGGCCTTGTCTCTTGGAAGCAGAGAAGGGAGCAAAGGCAGGAGCAGAGTCAGCCCTTGGACTCCAGTCTAGGTCTGACCTGGGAGGAATGATATGGCAGGATAAAAATGCGAACCTGTTACTACTGCCCCACCGTAAAAAGCTGCCTGGGAACCTGACCCCATGTCCTGAGGCGTGATGTGCTTAGGGAACAGCAGAATTCCTACAGCTCAGGGGTCAGAGAATAGACAAGACACAGTTGTCTCGTCTCATTTTAGTACTGTTAATTTGAGACCAAGAACACCCACGTGGTTTCCCTTGCTGTGCTTCCCAGCTTTCAGCCGGCAAAGGATACTTGCCCTGACCAGCCCACACAACAGAAATCTCCTTCCTTTTAAATCCTGCTCTTTCCTAGGATTGCACCGCTTCTCAGAGCCACGGAGAGCTATAGTTGGTGGCTTTTGGTCCTTCTGGCTCTGGGCAGTGAGGGAATATCAGCTGCCCCAGCACTGAGTGTGCGTGGCACCTCACTGCCAGTGAGCTTCCTCAGCCGGAGGATCTCCTGCTTGTACCTGCAATGGGGAGCAGCACCATCATTGCCCACATAGTCATCATCCCAAGAGATTCATTTAAACATACACCATGCCTTGTGTTTGCTGTGTGCTAAGGACATGCAGCGTCAGTTAATTCAGACCAGCCAGCCCAGGCACTGAGCCATACTGAGAGCTGAGCCCTGGCAGATACAAAACTGCAGCCTTTTCCTAAAGAAGGGGCTCTGCCAGGTACTGGTACCAGCAACAAGCCTGCAAGTCTGACCCAAGTTCACAGCCAATTTTAGATTTTAGGCAACCTCTGTCTTAGCTTCTTCCAAAGGATGCAGAGGAGAGCACACAGGGAAGGAGATGTGCCACTGGGCAAGCCAGACGCTGCCCCTGCTGCAGAACATGGGATGGTGGCAGCTGTCCACACAGCCGGATGTGCTGCGGGACATCGGCTGTGCCAGCAGCGCTGTGGGAAGGCAGCGGCGAGGTCAGGTGCCAACAGCGTGGCAAGCATGGCGATGTCGCTGGCAATTAGCCTGGGATATAAACTCGGAGCACAAAACCGAGAACATGTGGAAGGGGATGCTACCATCTCACCTTGCAAGATGCTTATCTATGTATTCCTGCAGCTCTGACACCTGCTCTTCTGCCACGAGTGCCCGAGTCAGCAGCTGGCTCCTCTTCTGCTCCAAATCCTCCTGGAGGGACAAGGAAACATGGAGAAAAGAGGGAGCTCTGAAATGGGAGTGAAAATGCTCAGTCCTTCTGCCAGGTGAGGCCAGGCAGCCTTCCCTGACCCACAGGCATGGGGACCAGGCTCCCTGCAGGACAGGCAGTAACTGCTTCTGCCAAACCATGATTTACTCCCACAAAAGTTTTGCAGACAACTGGCAGAGCGATTGCTAGATTTGGCACTTGGACACAGCTTTCACACTTTTCCACCGGTAGTTTGTTGCAAAGGGAAGTGACCTTCCCTTTTAGATTAAAAACCATTTAGTTTTTCGCAGTGTCTTGGGCAGTAGATCTTCTTCTTGCCCACCTTAGGCCACTGAGGACAGAGGAAGGCATAACATGGAAATGGGCTGGTATCACCTCTATAGCTTTGTCTACCACAAAAAACCAAACCTCTGCTTGGTCTTCAAAGCCCTTTTCCCCACGTGTGGCAGTCAGTGCGGCAAGGATCCCAGCATCAACGCTCCCCACTGTTGCTATCGCTGCTGGACAGCAAACCCCACTTCAGCCAAGCCTGCTCCCAGCGAGCATCTCCACAGTTCTGTAGGTGCTGTAGGGCAGTGGTGTGGATGGAGAGAGCTCTCCTCCCTGCTCTGGGCCACCCCATTCCGGAGTGCAGTGCAAATATCCTTGCACTCAAGGGGAACCAGACTGGGCAGGTGATTCAGGTTCAAACTAGACTTGAATCAGCTCAAGTATAGTCCCAGTTTGTTATAGAGAGACCTAAACGCTGGTGCTGAAACATGGGAGGGAGCAGTACAGTCCAGCAATGAGCAGCTGTAAGGGCTGCTCTTTCAGTAGCAGGGAAAATACAGCCTCAATACATCGTCAGCCGGGGACCTGCTAGTGTCACTTGGTGTGCTGAGGCCAAAGCCAAGCAAGGCCCCATGGAAAGCTTCCCCGCTGCAGCCTGGAGCAGTGTATCGGCCCCAGGGCAACACTCAGCTGGGGCAGCACACCTTTGGCATATGGGCAAGGGATAAGCTTTTGTCCAGATGCGCTGTTCCAGACCTCTACCTGGGTGGTGCGTGCAAACTCCCGGAGCTGCTTTCTGACCTCTGCCCAGCCCTCCTCATCCAGCTGTCTAGGAGACAAAAGCAGATTTTGGTCATGCACAGATGTTCAGAGCCAGCCCATCCACAGGTCACACAGCTCTATTCAGGGACTAGACACAACTTGTGTCCATCAGGCCATAAACCTCAGCGCTCTGAACCTTTTCTCTCTTGATGCCCCAGACTTTTTCAGGGCATGCGGTGCGATCCCTGTGCCTGCGCGCGAGAGTCACAGCCTTTCTGTCAACCTGGGATTCCCTGCTGCGAAGGCTGGGTTTGTTCCAAGTTCACATCAACCCTCATACATCAGAGGACTCTGCGCAGAAAGAGTCCTTAACCTGCCGCTGCAGGACTGAACTTGATGGAAATAGAGCGCGATCAATGCCAAATGCTGGCGCTTTTCATGTTTCTGAGCACAAACCCACCCCTTCTGGTCACCGAGCATGATAGGTGAGCTGTCTGTGCAGCCCAGCCGTGGGAAAGTCCTTCCTATTCTGTCCCAGTCTGAATAAGCAAAATACAGGTCACATCTGAGGCTCGGGGAATTTGGGTTGTATGAAGGGAGGAATGCATTGTACTCCAGAGGCTCTGCTGCGACTGCCAGAGTTCCCTCTGGTGGCTGCAGCCTCCTGGCCCAGGCACATGGGAAATCATAGCTGAGATTTCATGGGAGCAAAAGCAAAGGGAACAATAAACAGTGAAGCTGCACAGCTGATAAAAATGAGAAGCAGCAGAAGTCACAGCTGAAGTGCTGCAGTAACACCAGACTTTGCGTATCTAGCTAGAGGAACAAGGTAATGGTGTGGGTGAGACATCAGCACACAGAAAACAAGTGCTTGAAGTGTACAGACTCTTGGCAGCTATAAAGACATAACACAAGGTACATCACTAAAATGCAGGTTCTGGTACTTGTCTGTCTTGTTCTTGTGGCGAGTCTGCATCTCTTCAAGGACTGCTACTATTTTTTATCATTGCAGAGCCTGGTTAAGGCTCAGGCTCTTCTCCAAGACGTTCCTCTGGAGCCCAGTGGTTCAGGCACTGACCGACGACTCAGTGCTGGCATCAAGTTAATGAAATACCTGGTGTGTTTTCTAGGCTACCACATTTGAAAAGGCTGAAAAATCCCAGCTCAAATTTCTCCTACACTTTGTTCTACCTCTTCACACCTAGAGTTGATAGAGTTTCAACAGAATAATGGAACAGGAGAAAGAGACACATAAAAAATGAGCAAATAAAGGGCCTGGGAGCCAGGGAGGTATCAGTACAGGGTCACCTAAGGGTTCCAGGCCAGCTTCTGTGTTGGGAGGGAGGAGAAACAAGACCATCCCAAACTGGTGGTGTTTCACTTGCCTTTCTCAGGTTGTGATCCACCAAAACACTTGGGAGTGTGCTTAACTTTAGCTTCTAAAGAGATCAGCAAGACTAAAAACATGATGAAATCAAACATGTGCTTAAGAGCTTTCTTGGATCAAGGCCCAAATGATCAATTCATTTTGCTGCAGGAAACGCTGCACTGAGATGACAGCTGGCTTTTCTTCTTGGGTGAGTCCCTATCAGCTCCCTTTCTCCCTCTTTATTACTGCCTCCAAGTAAAGCAGAAAAGGCTCCTCAATCCATACAGTAAGGAAAATTCAGAGTTACAAATATCCTGAGAAATGAAACACTTACTGCTCAGGAGACAGCAGAAATGCAGAGGTTTCTTTTGGTCTTTTCTGAAAGAAATAAAAAAAAAAAGGAAGAACAGTATTTCTGTAAGCATTACACCATTGCAATCTCACCCACAGTCCTTGCCACTTTGAAGTGGCACAACGTATCCCAGCACTCTAGCAGCCACCAGTGCCCTGGCAAGGAAAGGATGTGCAGGACATTCTTAAGGTTTAGGTCTCTCATCCTCTGAATTTTTAAATAAATGCACCTCACACAGATCAAGAGACACTACTCTGCCCAGGCAGAACTGGTGGGAGGACATGGAGCTGACTGGTGTGTTTGAGTGCGGTCTCCTGCTCAGTTAGCTATTCAAGCTGAGGCAAAGGCATTCAAGAACAGAAAGCCTCACCCTATCCTCCCTTACTCACCTCATCCTATCCTCCTTTACTCACTCCATCTTTCAGCAGTGAGTGAGTCTGCTGACCTAGCAGCTCTCCTGTAACATCTGCTGCTCCTCAGCCCTCCCAGAGGTCTGTGACCCCCATCTATGAGACTGTTCAGCCTCCAACTCTAACTCACCCCTCTGCAGCGGGGTTGAAGCAGCAAGGGGACTGCTTGGACATCCCATCTTTTCCCAAAATGAGAAAGTGTGCAAGCACTACCCCTCCCTGTGCCACAGACACAGCAATCCCCCAAGGAATGCCTGAGAAAGGGGCTGAATCTGTTGCTTGCTTGTCCCACCACCCCCAGTTTCCCCCCCCCACCAGTCCTGCCACCACCTTCTGCAGTTCATGTAGCTGCAGCTCCAGTTTTGCTTTATCCTCCCGCAGCCGGTTTAGCTCCTGGGTTGTGTTTGTCAGCAGCTCTGGGTCTGTGATGGAAAGGTGGAGCTCGGCAGGGCCACAGTCCATAGCACTGCTGCCCAGGGACCGGATCTGATCTCGCTGGAGCCTGTAACATGCTAGAGTGGTTAGTCCCAGGTAGCTTTGCTTAGGTAACAACACTGAGCATTTCTGCTGCTGCTGGAGGTACCATTTTTTGGAACCTGCTGGCTTCTGGCCACCAAGAGTCAGTCCACCTGCACAGGATAAGTGGGAGAGCCCAGCAGCATGCATGATATTTCTGGATGTGTTTCTGAGGGGAGCTTGTCCTAGAGCTATTTGTGGCTTTTATGCCACAAGAATTTCTGCTGCTTCCCACAGCCCAAGCTGCTGAGAGAGCTGCGGAGCAGAGCTGAGAGCATGGCAGGCTTGGGCTGGGAGGCAGGAGTTATTTGTGGTACCTCTGCATTTCCACACCATCCAACGTGGAATCAATCTCTCACTCTAAACTTTGCACAGGAGAAAGGTATGTGCAAAGCAGCTCTAGGGTGTTCAGAGCACCCTGATGTGTAGCTGGAGACTCCTTGCTCCTGGCTTGTCAAGAGCAGGGAGATAAACACAAACTGCAGACCCTCTGCCCCACCTGGGATCCCCATTTGGGTTCCTCTTGGCCAGGGACTGGGTGCTATGGGGCATTTCCACTTGGTCCTTAGCAATGAGCTGAAAGAGGTAGCCCAGACCCTGGCTTATCCCTACCCGTAAGCAATCAGCAGGTTCTCGTGCTTCTTGACCAAGTTCTTCATGCGTTTCTTGTAGCCACGTGCTGCCCCAGCTAGCTGCTCTTCCCGGGACTTGTAGGAAGCCCTGATATCCTTCAGCATGCTTTCCACAAAGCGTTTCATGGGAGCATGGTCAGCTGGAGCTTTTCTAGGCCCCGTTACGTTGCTGGATTTGCTGTCCATGTAGTCCTTTAAACATACAGAGAAAGAAATTGAGGTGATCAAGTTGTTCCCTAAGGCATGTAACCCATTTCTCACAGAGAAGGTCCAGGCATATTGGTGCTAACAGCACAGAGATTAGGGAATATCTTCTATTTTCTAAGAGCAGGAAAGATTAATTAACTTCCATCACAGCACTTCAAGACAGAGAAGGCACCTGTACTGTGTCAATGACCCAGCTAGGGAAACACAAGTTGGCGTTGGGAGTTACCGTCTCTAGTGTCATACTATTTCCACCATGCCCCGCTCTCTCTCCTAGATAAGATATACTTCAACATTGCTCTGTTAGAAATTTAACTATTCTTAATAGTAAAAATGGCTTTACTTAGTCTCCTGATTCATCACCACACCATGTTATTTGGTACCAGCCTTCTCCCAGCACAGAAACTCTTGCCAAAACCTGCTTACTGCTACCTAGGGGTGTGGGAAGAGATTTCTTCTCAGTCTCATTGCTCAATATAATCAGGTTTCCATGCCTGAACCTGCCTGAAATGCCTGCCGTGTGCCCAGTCCTCACCATGCTCTGATGGCCCTACTCTACATTGACAGCGCTTGTTCCCAGAGCAGGTCCCAGGCATTGGCATTACACAGCCACAGAGGCTGGCAGAGCTCCCTGCGGGTACAGCAACAGAGTCACCATGGAGGCAGTGACAAAGCCAGAAGTGGCATCGCCTGGCCTGCCGAGGGAAGTTGTCAGGGCAATGGCAATTAGAAGCCAACTGGAAAGTAGCCATTGTAAATAAGAGGATCTTTCAATCAAAGTAATCTGACCGAGAAAGTAAGACCCAACAAAAGCTCACAGACCCTTTAGTGTGGCCATACAGGAAATCTGGACGAAGAGAGGGGCCAGCATCTCCTTCCCTAGGCCAAGCTGAGGGCATGGAGCCCCCTTCCAGCTGCAAGCATGGCTCCCCATGCCCCATAGCCCAGCAGGGAGGGGAAACAACAGCAACCTGCAAGAAGTAGGCAGTCAGCATGGAGACTTCCCCAGCCGAGGACAGCCCCTGGGGGTACCCACCGCCACATCCTTGATGTACTGCGCAAGCCGGGAGCGATATTCCTCGTTCAGTTCCTTCAGCCGGAGTTGCAGCCGTGAGTTCTCCACCTCTACCTCGTGGAGTTGGCTCTGGGAGGTGAGCAGCACCTAGGCACAGCACACACGCTTGCTGCTGCTCTTGTCCTCTGGCCAAGCAAGGGGCACTAAGAAACCCCATAAGAGATGGGGGACTTCATTTCATATTCAGCTTCACTAGAGCTGGGAAGGTCCTGAGTTTTCACAGGGGCCCACTGGAAGTGTTTGTAGTCTCTATTCCCCTGATGTCTTCTGTCATTTGCAATCCCCATCCCGGGTGATTGCGCCAACTCTTTCTAAATATCAGTGAACAAAATTCCTCCCAGCACCTGAGGCAAGCAGCACCTTCTACCACATGCATTGCACCCCTGGAGAGGGAAACATGTTGGAGTACCTCAGTGCAAGACATCCACTCCCTGCTAGCTCCAGAAGTGAATGGCACCCAGGAGGAGCGAAAAAGCAGGGGCAGTCCCAGGTGCCAGGGGCTGGGAGCTTGCCCTTACCGCTGACTGCTCCACCAGCTTGTGCTGGGCATCCCCGATTGCTCTCTTAGCCTCCTGCAGCTCCTTCCCCATTGTGATCCTGGGAACACAGAAAGAAAGAGTGGTTATATTAAACTCTCAAACTTCTCTATAGGTCAAATACAGCCAGTTTTGAGAAGGAAATCACGACAGGATGACAAATCTCAGCAGCAGCTGCTACCCCCCACCAGCTCTGTGTGAACCAGAGGCCACAGAGCTCACACAACCAAAAGCAAACGTCCTCCCCAGTCAGAGGGTCTGTTTCTTCAGCATCCCTGCTGCGGCAGCCTTTGCTGGGAGGCTGACCCCATCCCAGCCTGTCGATGGAAGAACTGCTGTGGGGGTAAGGCCTAGGGCTGGGTTCATGTCTGGGCTATCACACTTTTTCTGTGTGTGTCATAGAAGATGGATTTTCAGAGGTGCATAGACTGGATGGTTAGATAACTACCACTGACTTTTAAGTAGACAACTGACCCTCTTAAGAGCCTTGAAGACATCAGGTTTTGCTTCCAGGCCTCACTTGTTCTGAGTGTGAACTACCATTTCCTACCCTCTACCCCACCAAAGGCAGGCTCTCCTGGGCCCAAGGATCAGTCCAAGTGCAATGAGCTCCACAAATGCCCGGCCAAACAGAAGGATGTGTCCTCAAACACTCACACTCTCTCTTCCAGCTTCTGCTGCTGCAAATCATAGGTTTTCTTCAGTTTTTCAAGCTCCACTTTTATGTGATCCTGGTTTCCAAGCAACTGAGGGATAAACGAAGAGGAAGATGAGACAGGCCTGAGCTAAGCAGAGGGATTTGTGAAGAAGCAAGGAGAGCCTCCAGCTAAGCTTAAGTCCAGCTGACCAGTGACATACTGGGGAAAGGACAGGTTTAATTGGGAATGACGGGTGCTCCACAGCATACTAGAAATGGTGTGTGCTCTGGAGACAGAGTACATGGAGGTGCGCTCTCCCCAAGACAGAGTCTGCCAAGAGCTGGTGGTGGAGCCCAAGCTGGTATCGCATGGGCTGCAGCTGGGAAGGAGGCAGGGAACATCTCGTTGCTCTCAGTTTTGGGTCCTTTATCACCCCCGTCTTTCTCAAGTTCTCAGGTTTTCCCTCCACAAGAGCTGGAGATATTCTAGTCCCATTTTCCAATGGCACAGCTTAAAAAAAATAAATTGAATAAATCAAGGCTCATCCACAAAATTCAAGCTAGCACCAGGAGGTGCCAGCCAGTTGGAACAAATTCCCCCTCTGCTTCCCCAAGGATCTAGCAGCAGACCCCCACACACTCACGTTTCTCTCCAGCTTTTGCTGCTCATTTTCAGAGGCAACTATGTCTTCTGGCTGGTTTTAATAAGAGACAGAAGAAGGTGCCTGTTAGATCCCTGCTCTCCAGGGAGAGGTCTCCAGGGCAGAGAGGTCCTTACCTTCACCTCCTGAGCTGAGCGACGCCGCACCATTGCTCGCACTCTTTCATTCATTGGCTGTGGGGGGGGAGTGGTAGTGGTTGCTCTCTGTGTGGGGAAGGGTGCTTCTGGCACTGGCCAGGTTGAGCAGCTCTAGGCTGAGCTCTTCGTTCTTCATGACCTGCCAGGTCAGACAAGAAGGAAAGAGCTTCTGAAATCCTGCCTTTCTGGCTCCACACGCTGTCTGTTCAGCACATACCCACTTTGGTGCATACACAAAGCAGTCACTTACATCCCTTCCTAAAAGCAGTTCTATTTTTAGTTCTCCCTCATATGTCCAAAGATATCAGTGATTTTCTAATTCTCATGGAAATGCAGGGTAAGTATCATTGCCAGGCATCAGGATTATTCACAAGTCACCTAACTCCCTCTGCCCATCTCACACTCATATTCCAGCACAGATCCAGGTGCCAGCCCATCCCTGAGCACAGCTCTGCCACTATCTCTCTGTCCTGACCTCCAGCCTCTCTCCACCCCTGTACCCTCCACTTCAGGCGCATCTTTCCCCATGCAATGGCTTTGAATGGTGCTGGACCCTGTAATGTAAGAGAAGGGCCAAATCTCCATCCATCTCGGCTGACACCACCCAGCTCATTCCCGTTTAGTTTGAATGCATCCCTCCAGCAGCAGCCAGCCCACAGCACTGTGTAGGCAGCCAGTTTCAAAGCAGTGCTGGTGTGAAGTGACACATTTCCAAAAGATAAAGAGGATCTGGAATGAGAAAGGCTCTGTTACAGGTGATCTGGAAGGAATACTGGGGGAATTCATGTCTCACGGGAGGGTTTCTATGTAGATAACAAAGCTTTGATGGGGTTTATGACTAGGGACAAGCTTGAGTAATTGTTACCAAGGCAGTGAATTGGGAGGATGGGAGGCAGAGGTCATCTGAGTCATCTGGAGAGAATAGCTTATCAAAAGATAGCACAGGGTGGGCTGAGGGAAAGAAGAGAGGAGAAAAGAAGCTGACAAAGAGGTGAGATATACAGCTGTGAAAACTGACAGCTATGCAGAGATGGGCTGCTTGTTCTTCAACCAAAACTGATCCATCTGCAGCTGTCAGCCCTGACAATTTGATCAGAGGGGGTCACACAAGCACCAAAGTACCAGCTTAGTGAAAGACAGAGGCAGTCCCAGGTTCGTGATGGGCTTCACTGCCTCTCCTGTGCTTCCAAAGCCTGGCCCGGCTCCATGGAAAATCCCAGAGTGGAACTAGTCCGCAACCATTTGGGTTCCCTCCGACAGTCTTACTTTGTACGGCCACTGCAGACGGCATAAGTCTGCCGAACAAAAGAGGAGGAGGAAATGGAGAGTCGAGGAAAGGTCAGAGGCTTGAAAAGGAAGAATTTACAGCCAGTTAGAAAACAGGCACAAAGTGAGTGTCTGGCATCTTCTGGAAAGCACTTCCCCAGGGACAGGCAAGGCCAGCTCTGTCGCACTCCTTCGCCTGGGACAGACACAGGGCGATGTGTGAATCGAGCTGTACAATGGGGACCGCGACAATTCAGAGGCTCTAACTGTTCCTGGACAAGGGACCATGAATGAGCTCGCTGAGCTGCTTCTGCGCCAAGCAGCCATGACAACATATTGGCAAGGTCACAAGTAGCACTTGTAATTGGGAATGTGTAAAAGGTTCATTGTCTCCCTAGAAGAACGCCAGGGAAGGGGAGGGGGCAGAACTGCAGGCTGCTTTTCCCATTTCCTTTGGAAAAGTCCACAGTGGGAAAATAATGAGCAAGAGGCCCATGTCGTGACAAGTCCCAGCCTGCCAAGTTGGAGCCTCTTTTGCTTTGGGCAGGGATATTTGGTAGTCAAAGCCAAGAAACTGGGGTAAAATCTCAGCCAATGAATTACAACCAAGGAGTTCACCTTTGGCTTCTGGACCCTGCTCCACCACCTTTTCAGGGTGCAATCCAGGCACATAACTGAATCCACGTGCTTTCACTCTCTGAAAAATCCCAGGATCCATGTGAAAACAGGGTGTTATTACCACCAACCTATTAAACTCATCATTTAGAGTCTATCCAATTTTTGAAAATCCAATTTTTGACTAACATATTGCACCCCCTTGGGGACAAGAAGCAACCAAGATTGCTGAACGCTGAGCTATTCCTTTGCAGCCTGGCAGCACTGTGCCTCTGCAGTGCGTTGCTTTGCTGCCAGTCAGCTGCACACACTCTGCCTCGTGCTCCAGCAGGACGACAGGGTGGGTTCACACCCCTGCAAGCAGCTGAGCTTGCCTCCTCAGAAGAAATTTCCATTTCTCAGCTTCCAGGAGACTTCACATGATGGCTTCACAACAATCACTAACTTATTTGCAACAGCATGATCATGAGCTCATATTCTCTACCAGAGATCTGCAGACCAATGCTCACCATAAAGAGAGACAGGGACATGTCTGGTCCCAGCCCCACATTTTCACATCACAGTAAACCGGGTCATTTGGCTGAAGCAGCTAAGCTATCTGCAAGGGGAGGGAGGCATGAGGATGTCAGTCATCCGATCCAATTCAAAAAGGAGGAAAAGTGGGAAGGGGGAGAGGGAAAGAAGAGAGAAAGGTCTATCGAAGGGGCTATTCTTACCAAAGTACACAAATCTGGGTCCAAACCACTTTAGTTAATAATCTCTAAGTTAACAGTCATCAGGAAATTAGCTATATTTTAAGGAACAATCAGGAACTTGCTTCCATTCAGTGTTTTTATAAACTCACCGACCTCAAAAACTTCCAGGTCTCTTCCTGCCGCCTTACGAAATGAGAGTGACTACAAGCAGTTCACGTGCAGCCTGTGCAAGCCATGCAGAAAAAAGGGAAACAAAGCGCACTGGCAGTCAAGAGGGACCTGCAACATGGACGGAGACCAGCCCCACAGTGACCTCCTTCTTACTGCTAGTGACTGGCATGAAAAGAGAAACACCCTGATAGCGGGGTGTCCAGAAGCACACAGGTCAGTGGGGGCTCAGCACTGTCCCCCTGAGCAGAGCAGGTTCTGCATGCCCTGCAAGAAGGTGACCGTGTTATATAAAACCCCTGGGCCCAGAAAACAAAACCATGCTCAAGCTACACTGTCTCACAGCTGCCAAACTCTACTGGACCTAAGCTGTGAGGTGGGTACGTAACCCAAAGTCAACCAAGCTGGCTGTACATCAGGTAATTGGGAGATGGAGTTGAGAACACCAGAGTGAACACTGCAGCCTGTCTCACCTCCTGGTCCAGTTCTTTACCTAGGGCCAGGTAATTGCTTTTCAAAATGATGTACTCATCTGCCAGCTCCTTCCGACTGGTCTCTAGAGCATGCAGACGTTCCTGTAAGGCATCCCGCTCCCCTGTGACTTTCTCACTGCGGAGCTCCAGCTCCAGCACACGGTTCTCCAGGGCCAGGATCTGCAGAGGGCAGGCAGTAGAATTAGACTGTGGCAGAGGCCAGCAGCAATCACAGGGTTTTATTTTGGCCAAATAGGTTCTGGCATGCTATGACTTAAAGAGAGATGAGTTTCACACAAGTTTCATGGTATCTGGGGTGTTAAGGTGGGATTAATTGCTCTAGCTAAAGCCAAGAGAGTACACCAAGCAAAGCAAAGATGGATGTGTAATGAACTGCAGTTCTGGATAAGGTATTGGCAGAGCTGCAACTGGCTACTTAAAACTTTTAGATACCATATTTTTCAGTTCAAAGTTCTCCGTCTCATACTGCTCCTTCAGTTTGTTTGTCTCAATCTGGAGATCAACGAGGTCTTTGGAAATCTAGGAGGGAGAAAGGACATGATAACGGCCACAGACTGATTCTGAGGCCAACATACTGTTTCAACAGGTTGCACTGGGGAATGTGAGCACAACACACACACACCTGGAAAGAGGTCCTAACAATTCCCACCAAATTTTCCACTGCAGGTCTACTGGCCTCACAGCTCAGTTCTCTCCAACTCCTTAAGTATTTGGTTTACCTTCAGTTTTTCCTCTTCACTGAAGGCCATTCTGGCTGACAGATCTGTTTTGGAGCCAGCCAGCTTCCACGTCCTCTCCTGTGGGTCTCCGAGCTGCTTCAGCCTCTCATTCTTCTCCTGCAGCTGCACCTAGAGACACATGGCTCCAGCAGCTGTGCCATACAGCAGAGGCCTCCTCTCCCCCATGCCCTTCTCCCATTGCAGTGCTGGTGAAAGGGAAGAACACAGCATATCTACCTTTTCAGAGCTTGAACAGATAGGGATTTTCAGCTACAATTTCCCTTCCTGAATTAGGATTTCATTTGCAGAGCACTGGTTCCACAACCCAGGAAGCAGCTGCAGAACTTCACACTTACATTTTCATTAGCAAGGTGCTGCACATGTTCTGTCAGAGTACTTACGTTTTTGTTCTCTGCAACACTTCCAAAATCCATGCACTCAGAGGCCAGGATCTTTGCACGGTGTCAGTTTGAAGAGCAAAGGAAGGATCTAAGGATCTCTGTGGCAGCAACTTTTCCCTTAAGGCAGGGCACAAGCAATGTTGCTAACAACTTTGGTTACTAGCAGGTGCAGCGTCCGCCCTGATTTTAAGGTGGAGCCACTACAGCCAACTCATTAAAAGAAATTACACTTCTCAGGAGGTTTCCATATTCCAAAGACAGCACACAGCAGATCCTGAAATGAGCAGCTTAGCAGACACCCTCAGTGAAGCAATATTGCCAGCTCAGAGGTACCATATTACAGACTGGTCTCAAAACCCAGCTGAAGGGATGGCCTCCATCTCTATTGCAGGGATCTTTACAGAATTTAAGATCTGATTAACCCATTAATTAATCCATTAATCCAACTATCTGCTCCAAGACCCTCCAGTAACATCTAACATCAACTTACTTCCAGGTATTTTTCTTTTGATCTCTACAGTCCTTGTATCTCCTGTGTCAATGAGCCACCCAAGGGGGACCAGGATCTTTGAGCTCTGACCACACTACAGATGGTGACAGGAAAGACCTTCCCCAATTTATCGCTTTACATCACAGTTGCTGTATGGAAAATGTAAGTTTTAAAGCAAAACACACACTGAAACAAATCCTGATTAGCCCAGACAGTGCTAAATCTGGATCATGCTTGTCTACACACTGCGGCAGACTCCAAATTGTGACCATCCCGGCCTGAATGGGACAACTCCCAAGTGTGTGCAAAGCTAAAAGTACCTGAACAGTCTCTGACTAAGAGCAAGGGTAATGGAGAGCATAAGACACAGTGGGTAATGCTGGCAGAGCTTGGTGAACAGCAGCCATGGGATAAAATGAATGCGAGTTCTTCATCTCTTCATTTCAGGCTTATTATCACTGCTATTTCTGTCGAGTGGGTGAGTTTAGGTAAGAACTTGTCTCTTACAGAAAAAAAACTTTGACAATGTAAGGTTCACAAAAACCACAGCTCTGAATAACTTCTTAGTAACTGTCAAAGCTAAGAGGATGAAAAAAAGAGAGGGGGAGGCACATCCTGATAAAAAACTCTGTGCCGAGCAAAGTTCACCAGCCCCTCACCTGGTCCAGGCTCCCGGGGGAGATCCCGTAGCCCCTTGATGGGGTTTGCATGGACAGCCATGGAAGTGACACGCAGGGGATGAGTTCTTGTGGGGCATGAGAGAAGGAGAAGCTAACAAAACACGTCATTATGTCTTATTTATCTGCAAAAGAACTTAACAGACCTGAAGTAATTTTATTAAGGTAATGAAAGTGCTGATGAGAATTCACAGTCCCTTCACACCCACTGCTGAGCAGAAAGCCAAATTCACACACCGCCCACAGCGCTGGGGGCCTTGGAAGTCTCCGGTGGGTGCTGCAGCACATGAAGGAACCGAGCCACAGCTCCGCTCCACAGGTGCATGCCATCTCCTGCAGCTCTCAGCCCTGCAGTCCTCGCCGAGGACAGGCACTCCCAGGCCACACTGACCCAAGGACACGTGCAGGCTGACCCACGCCACTGCCCCACACAGCTCTGAACTCAGCAGTGGCGTGCTTGGGCTCCAAAATGCCCAATTCAGGTGGGCAAACAGCCCACCCCAGCATGCTGGCAAAGCCGGCCTCCCTGGAGGTGCCTGGTTCACCTGACAGATGCCAATATACTGCTGTGCTTATTTCCAGACCAATTAAGATTCATGTGCACAGTATTAGTTATGCTCCTACAGTGCCTGGGAGGCACAGGCCAAACACCCTTTGTGGCAGGTGCCGTACCAGCACCAGAAATGACAGTGACCACTTTTCCCTTGGTTTGGAAATACAAAGCAAATTCTGCCCTGGCTGACACTACAAACACTAAAATTGGGCTGAGCAATGTGGTTTAAGGGTATCATCGCAGACCAAAAACTCCATCATCAGCTGCCAAACTGTTTATTTTCACCTCTCCTCCAGCATTGACCAGAGCTGCCAGCCCATGGCGGGAGGACACCCCCGCTGCCAGTGCCCCGGCCCTCCCTGTGGGCCCGGGAGGCTGGAGCATCCCCGAGGGGGCCCACGCGCCCGACGAAACTGCTGCGGACCGAGGCTTGAGCGGCACCAAGCGTCGGGGTGACGCCTCGGGGGGAAAGCGTGGCCGCCAGAGGAGCAAGTCAGCCAGAGCCGGGGGAGGTGACTGGGCCCCCACCTCCCCCGGGCTGAGGAGGAGTGGGCGGTGTCCTAGACTGGGCCTACTTAAGTATGGCCGCGTCCCGTTTCCAGGGCAACAGGCGAGGCAGCTTCCGGGGGAAGGTGGCGAGGTGGCAGCGCCACCTGGTGGCGGGAGTACGTAACATCCTCGGCTCGGGCACCCCCAGCTCCTCTGCTTCGGGGTCCTACCAGCACCTCTCTCCCTTATATCCCAGCTAAGTTCACCCGCTTCCAGTTTAAATCCATTACCCCTTTGCGGGCCCTGGTGAAAAGCCACTCGCCATGGCTCTCACCAGCCCTGTTATACCTTGCCAGCCTGCTAGAAGGTCTTCTCCAGACTGAGTAGCCCCGACTCTCCCAGCCTTCCTCCACAGCAAAGGGTCTGCCAGCTCCCTGGCCATTCCCGTGGCACCCTCTGGACTCACTTTAACAGGTTCAGGTTTGCCTTGTGCTGGGACCTCATAGCTGGATGTGTGTTCATAGAGGTGTCTCTCCAGAGCAGAGAGGGACAATCACCTCCCTTGACCTGCTGGCCACACTGCTTGTGATGCGGCCCCAGGAGATGATGGCTATGCTGGGCTGCAAGCACCCATTGCCAGCTCATGTCCCATTTGTCACCTTCTAGCATCTCCAGGTGCTTCCCTACAGGCACGGAGAGCCTGGCAGCGGGCAGCGCAGGGGGTTGTGGCCGTGCAATCTCTGGCAGGAGGAAGGTGTGTGGTCCCTCCACCACACTCTCACCCCCTCACACCAGCTCGCCACCCCAAGGACCAGGCCGCTGCCTCCATTGCCCACCACTGGGATAGGCTCTCCTGCCATTCTTTGTTCCCAAGTGCCTCCAACCCCAACTCCCAAGGACTCCACCTTTCCCCCAAAACTCAGCATTTGGGAAATTTCCCATCTGTGCCTCTGGCAGTGGCACTGGCATCCCTGAGTCATGGCTTGGGGATGTCCTCACCTCCCTGGTTCAACCTGCCCAACCACGCTGGTGGAAGTGACACCGTTTCATGTGGCTGCGTGGGCCACCAGCATGGTAATTAGTGTCCCCAAGAGCCGCATCGGTCACCTTTCTCAACTGCCCACACGAGTCTGCTGCAACCACAGCAGGGCACGAGCCAACGGGGACCTCTGCCAGCAGATGCCAAAACCTTTTGCCACCACCGCCAAGTCCCCATCTTGAGTAATGCAAACTTCTTTTTTGAGTGAAACTTGACACAGCGCATTAGGTGGGGACCAGAATGACCAGAAACGTGGGAGACCAGCAAACACTGGGTGAAGCCCATCTCTGCCAAGAGGGTCTCTCGAGGAGGCAGTTTGGTCCATCCTGGTGTTCCCAAGAGAGCGGCACAAGCTCTGTGATGCCAGTGTCACCCATCCCAGCTCTCTTGGGCAGCAGCATCAGGGCTTGCACATTTTTGGATTGGGATGAGGAGCAGGAGCACTGGTTACCCTGGCAACACGAGATGCTCTCCTCCAGACAGAGAGAATAATTGGCAAGATTTGCTAAAAATACTTCCTAACTCAGCTGTGCCAACACCACTCATGTCACATCCTCACTGGGTTGATGCTGTCACTGCTGGCACCCAGAGCTGGCCCTGGGCCACTTACTCTGGATTAGGGAGGATGGACCAGGGAGCTCCTGGGGTCCAAACAGCCTCCCTGGCTCTGGCAGGGCCACCACTGCCAGTCTCTGCCCAGCTGGGACAGGACAGGGGGCCAGGGACAGCAGGGACAGCTGGTGGCATTAACCCACACAAAAGGATGGGAGGGAGCTCCCTGGGGAGGGACCTGCAGGCACAGGATGGCTGCTTGGGAAGGTAATGATTCCTCAAAAAAGTTTAAAAGCAAATTATTTTGCTGCTTTTCCCACTACCATTACAGCCTTCTCCATGGCAACCAGGTGAGGCAGCTCAGACTTTGGTCCTGGATGAAGAGATTAGCTGTCAGGGCTGAAATGATATGAGGATCGTTTGGGGAGGTCCATGCTGGCTAGGGCTGTGGTGGGAGGAGGACATTTGTGGTGAGGACTCAAAATGAGGTCCCCGTGGTGGCTGTGGTGCCATGGTACACCAGGCAGGTGTGAGGTCCCCCTGCGCAGGACGAGCTCATAGTGATGCCAGAGCAACCAACCACACCATGGGGTCTGAGCATCCCTTGCTGCAGGCAGCGGTGGTACACATCTGGAGATGCTCTCAAGGAGGTTTAAAGGTGGAAACAGCTCCAACTCTTCCCTGCACTGCAGCCATTTTGGGAAGGGTTTTGCTTATTTGCCCTCTTCATTTTCCCTTTGCAGCTCATTTGATATTTTCCCCGAAAGAGGGCTGTGAGAGGCAGGGATAAACCCACTCCCAGCCACAGGTAGGTTATACTTCCCAGAGAGGTTTTGTGAGTTTTGGCTGGGTGGCCTGTGCTGGTTCAGCTCTTTTTAGCTTCCAAATTGATTACACCTTGTGTCAATATGTGCTTAGTGCCTATTAGCAAGTACACGTATCTCCATCTCTCAGTTCTCCCTTCTGATCTATAATTTCCCAGAAGAGAGAATTAAAAATAGAGGGGGAGGATGGGAGAAAACAGTGCTTGTGGGAAAGTCAGGTTGCAAGGCTGGAGCCTGGCTGTCTCGCTCTGTTGCCCCTTCCCATGGGCACAGTCCTACTTTGGCTGATGAGAAGGTTGCTTAAGACCACCTGAGCTATGCCCTGGGGAGATACCAGGCTCCCACAGATAGGGGTGAGGTGGGAGCACAGTGGGGTTGGTGGTGGAGAGCATCCCCAGGGGAACCGGGG